CTCCCTTGCCCCGCGCATCCCCCCCCCTAGTGCTTCTTCTTAGCTTTTTGGGTATCTTTATTAGCCCTTTGGCTGTCTGTGTGAGTGCTGTTTTCCCGCCTCCCTAGTCGAAGTAGTAGGGTCATTCTCTCTGCTGATTTCCCGCCTTCCACTATGCTATGCTGGGATCTCTCTTTTTCCCGCCAAATCTCTTTTTTCCCGCCAAATCTCTCTTATGGCATGTGCATTCTTTTTTTGGGGAAAAGGGAAAAAAAACGATTTCTTTCCTTTTTCTCCCCCTGTCTCTCCACTTCGTCTTTCCTTCCCTTTCCCTTGTGCTAATCCTTTTTTTTTTTTTTCCGCTTATCCTTCTTGTTCCAGTTCGGTCGTGGATTACGATTAGTCCCTTGTCCTAATCCTTTTTCTTTTTTTTTTTGTCTTTATTTTTCCGCTTATCCTTCATGTTCCGATTCGGTCATGCATGACGATCAAGAGAACCCATCATGTATTTGCACAAAAATAACTGAAGCATTGATTAGGAAAATGTGTACGATATATATGATGATGATGATGATGCGTGATGATGATGATGATGATGATGATGATGATGCGTGATGACGATGATGATGATGATGATGATGATGATGATGATGATGATGATGACGATGATGATGATGACGACGATCAATTAACTGAAATCGAACAGATCAAAGAAGGGCAAAGCTTAAGGCAATATACCTATGTACCTATATATATATCTATACGTATCTATATATGTACTACATATCTGTATATATATCGCCAGATATATCGTCAGACATATATATTATGTTGGACGGACAAATATTATATATGTTTGACGATAATATGTCTGACGATACATCATCATCATCATCATCATCATCATCGTCGACGTCCTCTCTGTGAAAGGAGTGAGTCCAATTGCTGCTCGTTTCCCCCTGATCATGGAATGTATACAAGCTATATACAAGCTATCTTTCCGGTCCGATACAGTCATGATGAGGGCGGGTTCTGCTCGGCGAAAGACGGTGGTATCCTTCCGGCTGCGTGGGGGTTTATCTGATCTGTGGGGGAGAAGACGGTAGCCTCCCATCTGCCCATCCATCCTTGTTCCCGTGTGATTATTAATTAATCAAAATTTTTGATTGATCCATCCCGTCAGTCGATGAACAGACTAAATCAATCTAGCAATCAATTGAATTGATTACATTCATTTTGTTATCTACTGCATCAATCAAGCGTTCCGTGAGTGAAAGTTCATCTAATCCATCGAATCCATCCACCAACTAATCAACTAATCAACTAATCAATCCCTCAATCAATCAATCAACTCATCAATCAATCAATCAATCAACAATCAATCAACGATCAGTCAACAACCAATCAAGAATCAGTCCATCAACGAATCAGCAATCGATCAATTAATCAGTAATCAATCAATCAATCAATCAATCAATCGTCTTCAGGTTCATCCGTCAATTGATTAGTATATGGATCGTGTAATAGATCTTTATCAATCAATAACAATCGTAAAATTCGTCACAGTTGATGGGGATATTAGTCATCCACAGATCGATTAATAGTTCTTTATCAATCAACGACAGTCATAAGATTTGTCTCTGTTGATTGGGACGTCTTACGCAGTTGATTGGGACACCGTAGCCATCCACATCAGACGATTAATTGATCGTGATCAATCAATCAATCAATCAATCAAATTAGTCGCCAGTTGATTGGGACATCTTAGCCATCCACGGCGATTGATTGATCGACTGGTCGATCGATTCGTCGTTGTGTGCTGTAGCGTCTTCACCCGCATACAAATACAATGCCCCCTGTCATTATAGCTGTATTTGGGGCAACTTTCCGTCCAGATACTGTGATAATGACTGGGCGTTGTATGCGGGTGAAGACGGTAGCCGTCTTCACCATCTGCAGACACCAGGCATCATGTAATTCCATGTCAATCAGTGACTGATGGGGAAAGGTCCAGCATGCATTGTGGGAGGGGGGGGGGGGGGGGGGGGGGGGGGGGGGGGGGGGGGGGGGGGGGGGGGGGGGCGGGGGGAGGAGGGACCTTGAGGAGCGACATGATTGATTGACAGCTGGCAGATTTCTCTGCCGGGTACAGATGATGATCGGCTGATTTTTTATTTCTTTTTGGTGCAATTAATTTCAGGAAATGTAGTAATTGGCACAAGCGGCTAATTCACTAAAAGGGCAAAAAAAGGAAAAGAGAATTGAGTGTGGTCAATTCAGTAACTTACCTGTGAATTATATCTTTTTTTTTTTTTTTGGTGAAGTAGATCATTTACATGTACATTTTTGTATATTATTAATAGATTAATTTAAAAAGTCATTAAATTAATTAACATAATAATAAAAAATTAATATAACAAGTAATTAGAAGGTAGGTCGTACAGGTGGCAGCTGATCTCGTCGAAGAATCGTCGTCGGTCGCCGACCGGCAAGAGTCCGCTGGGATCGGGTTGTCGGTCGTCGACCGTTTGATTGGAAGGAATGACTGACTGACCGGTCCACGACAGTTGTGAGTTAAAAAAAGTAATTAAAAAAAATAAAAAAATTGCGAGCTGCTAATCATTCTAAGGGGGTGCTTTGCTTACGGAAAAGGAAAAAAAAAATAAAAAAGAAAGGAAAAAAAAAATATAGGTGCTTACTGTGGGGCTTGTCATCTAGGAGCTTGTTGCCCCCTGTTTTGTCATATTTGGCTGTTCCCTTCCTCTTTTTTCTTTGCCTCTTTGCCTTCTTTGGCTGTGTGCAAGTGGGTCGATATGACACACGGGGGTGGGGGAAGCCGCCGCTCAACCACATCCACGTGGGCGGCCTTGTACGCAACAAGTTTTGAACACGGGGAGTCTTGTAAGGAAGAAGATTAAAAATGAATTGATATCTTTTTTGTTCCCTTTGTTTTTTTCGCTTTTGCGTTCTGATGACTTTGTGACGATATATACCCAAGAGAAAAATAATTGTGGCTGCAATGTGACCATCCGCAGTCGGAGGGTTGGGATCCCGTCTACGACGCAAGTGGTAACGAACAATGGTTCTTTTCCTGGTGTAGAAACGCACGCGCACGCGCGCGTGTTGCGCGCGTGTTGCGCGCGTGTTGCGCGCGTGTTGCGCGCGAATGAGGATGGGTGCGCGAGAGGATGTCTGTGGTTTTGTCTCATCTGCGGCCTCCTCCCTGGGGTTCATCAGAAGGGTGGAGGGGAGGAAAGGAGTGGGGGGGTGTAGGAGATATGAGGGGTGGATGGGTGAAGGAGAAGAGAG